GGTACAACCGTCGAGAACGGTTTTGGTAAAAGTGTGTTTTTTAAAGGGTTAATGGGTCTAGAAATTGTTTTTATATAGAACGCCAAATCTAAAATTTGCCTTCGTATAGCCAGTGCCATTATACCTGCTTCGACTTGAAGGCTCACTATGGGGCTTGATCGAAAAGCACCAGCGGCTACTCGAAGTGCTATGTTTTGGATCGTATCCAGCATCTCAAGTGTCCTTTTGCTAGCGGAACCATATACTACACACGCATAATCTAATTTGCTCAGTACAAGTGCCTTATATAATCGAATTATACTGATTCTATCAGCTCCCCAGTTGTAATTTCTTACCGTTTTTAGGATATTTAAAGCCTGTAGACAGTTAGCCCTTAGCTGTTTTATATAGGGTGACTATGTAAGAGCGCGATCTAAAGTGACACCAAGATATTTAATGTTCTTTGCTTATACTAAATCCTTCCCGTCAATTTTAATATTTTGAATGGTAAAATTTCGTTTTCGCGTAAATTATCTCGTCTGTGATTTGTTGACGGAAATTTTAAAACCATGTGTATTAAGCCAAGATGTTGCACCTAACAAAGATTCTTGCATAATTTCGTGAATAAGCGTTGTATCTTTACCCTTAACATAAATCACTACATCATCAGCGTACATCAAAATGTTAGCTGGAAATCTTACTTTTGTAGCGACTCCTTAAATTGCACGGCTAAATAATATAGGACTAAGTACGCTGCCTTGTGGGGCACCGCTTATTTGCTCAAATTCATTTGATATTGCGTTGCCGGATCTTACATAAATCTTCCTATTGTTTAGGAAGTTATATACACTGACAGGCAAAAAATTCCACCCACTTGACTTTTTCATGTTTTCATCTAAAAATATTTCTGCTTTGGATTGGTATATTGTCTTTAATGAATAAATAAGTAATCTTTTTGTTTGTTTTCAATTAGGAATGTTAATATAGAGGACAATAACCCTTAATCCTTAATTCAATGAAATGATTCTAGATTCCAATGTTTACTTTCTATGGAATCAAAATGTTTATTCAGTATCAGTATGAGTATCTGTAGTTTATTAGTTCAGTGCCGTTTCTTGCAGCACATTCCTTAGTCTCCGGCTTTTAATTTTTTCAATATTAAGTTTAAAAATGCCTCTTAGTGCTGAGGATGTTGCACTTATTGATGATGGACGTTCCATTAGATATGTAGCTAATGCCATCGGAATTCCATGTGAAACTTTACGAGACGCCGTCAGGCGTTTTCGGGAAACTGATTCTTACAATAGAAGGCTCGGTTCTGGACGGCCTAGGGTAACAGAACCACGGGATGACTGGTTTTTGACTTTGAGAATTTTACGAAACCGGCACCTTACCGTTGTTCAGACGATTCATCAGCTCGAAGAAGTTCGAGGTGTGCAAATTTCTGAACGTACCGCTCGGAGAAGATTAAATGAATTATGAATTAATGGCTTTTCGTCCAGTAAAAGGACCAGAGTTAACCAGAACTCAAAGAGTAACACGGCTGGCTTTTGCTCGAGAACACAGCCATTGGACTATGGACGAATGGAGTGCTGTAATTTTTACAGATGAGTAAAGATTCGCTCTTCGATCTCCAGACGGGTGTGGAAACGAAGAAACGAAAGATATGCAGCCTGTAATTTTTCCCAGAGCCAACCTTTCCAACGTGGTTCCTTAATGGTGTAGACAAGTGGGTCGAATTTTTTGCCTGTCAGTGTATAAATTGAAACATTTCACCCTATATCCTAATTTCAGTCAAAGCATTTAGTAAATATTTTATGTATACAGAGTTGAATGTATTTTCAATATCCAAAAATACCGCTAAGAGGAATTCCTTTGATTGAAAAGCTCCTATTACGTCGGCTTCTAATTTTATTAGGTTGTCTAGTGTACTTCTGCCGCTTCGGAAACCACTTTGCCATAAGCAAAGAATGTTTTTACTTTCCATAAACCATTTTAAAGACGATTGGCTATCATTCTTTCCAACAGCTTGCAAACACAACTGGTTAGCGCGATAGGTCGGTAACTGGGCATCAGTTCTTTCGGTTTGCCTTTTTTCAAATTGGATATTATTTCAGATTTACACCAATTATCAGGAAAAAATTTTGAACGGTATGCATTATTCAGAAAATTACAGAGTGATATTATGCTACGATAAGATAATTTTTTTAAACATACTATAAGTGATGCGGTCTGATCCTGGGGAGCGTTCTTTACATGTTTTAAGGGCTGTAATAAATTCAAAGAAAGAGAAGGGAAGATTAATGTTATTACTTTCGGCGCTTATGTATTCCACTTGAGCTGTACTCATTGAGGTTGGAATGTTTTGTATAGGAGTCGAAAATGTCATACTAAAATATTCTCCTATTGCAATAGCTACGGTCTTAGGGTATGTGATTATTTCGTCAGCCCTATTGAGCATGTTCAAGGAAAAATGTTATTTCTTCCCTATTATTTTTCTTAATATATCCCATACATCAGCGATCGGAGTATTAATATTTATTCGTGATACGAAGTCTTTCCAGCACATTTCTTTGCTTTGTTTTACATGTACAACATTGTTTCCTAGCTGTGATGTATTTTTTGAAGTTATCGGAATTCGGTTTATTTTTAAATTTCCGCAACATTTTTTTTTTCCTTCTTTTAATAGCGATAGAGCAATCCTTCGTCCACCAAAGGATGAGGATCGTCCCACTTCTTGCCCTGGTCTTTGGTATTGAGCAATCTGTTGCTGTCCTAATAGTTTCTCTAAGCATTTCATATTGCACGGGTAAACTGTTTTGGGCAAGTTGTAGACCTGAGAGATTTGCTAATAGTTTATATTGATCCCAATCCGCATATTATACAAGCCATCGATTTGAGCATGTTACCGACTGGACTCTATCAAGAAACTCAATTATAATAGGGAAATGATCACTACCATGAGTATTATTAATCCTGTGCCATTCTAATCTTGGAGCTATAATAGGAGTAGTTAGCGATAGATCAATGCTCGATAAATTGCCTGTTCTAGGACAGATGTAAGTATAGCTGGAATCATCTAAAATAGTCATATTATTAATATCAATAAAGGTTTCTATCAGCCTTCCCGCAGTGTCTGATTTTGAGGACCCCCATTGAGGGCTGTGACAGTTGAAATCACCAAGCCATAAGACTGGAGCTGGGAGCTCTTCCAATAGATCATTTAATGCTCTAATCGGAAAATCGTTTGTGGGAGGAAGATACAAACAACGTATAGTTAGAAGGTAAGGGGAAAGTATCGGCACAGCAACTGCTTGCAGGCAGGATGTGACCGGTACTTGAAAACAGGCAACTTCATGGCTAACCAATATACCTACTCCACCACAAGCTTTTATTCCTTCCATATAGTCTTTTCGGAAAATTTGAAAATTTCGAAATTTCGCTTGATGCTTAGGTAGTAAATGAGTTTCAGATGATATTAGATTCACTATCCCGTACTAATATATCTAAATCACTTATATGATAATTAAATCCTCTAATGTTCCATTGGAGTATTTTCATAATTATTTAAGAAACTATTTCACAAAATTTGTTTAAAAACATAGTAATCAAGAAATGGTATTAAGGGATAATATAGTAAAGAAAAAATAATTATAGAAGATGTTAAAACAACAACATAACACTGGTTAGTTAAGAACACTAATTTGGGGTTATTTATTATATCGATCATATATACTGTTAAAGAGATTGTTTGACGTTAATAGAGATACATCGATATATTCTGGGACCATGATACATTATTTATATTAATAATTATCACTTCTGACAGGTGTGAGTTGAAGAATCAAGTTAAAAAAAAAAATAAAAAAATTAATTATCAATTGATGTTTGAGGTTAGAGTAGATAAGAGGACAGAATTTTTTCTATAATAAATGTTTGAAAATTTCGGTTATATTACTTCTTTTGAATAGTTTTTCCTCTTTTACGTTGCTATTGTGGTGGTGGGGCATATTTTTTGTGAGGTAAAATAGAAGTTTCGTTTGTGATTGGTTTATCTTCTGAAGTATTTAGATTATTCAATATCTTTAAACGCAATTTAAAAATAACTAAAATGATAATTACGTTAGTTACATTTACTTCACGTTCTTATGTGATGATAGATATATAAATTTTATATAATTATAAAGTTTAAAATACAAAATTTTATCTATGCCCATTATTTTACATAATATTCTGAAACATGTCTGTCATTTGTCTTAATATTCATGCTTATACATGACATTTACTTTTAAATGAATATAATATTAATCGAGTGATTGATAGATTTACTTAACAGTTTGAGGTTCAGCGAAGTTAATTTTTTTACGATAATTTATATCTTATATTATAATTACTTAAATAGTTCTTTTGAGATTAAACCGCTACATAACCAAGCCTGATTAAGAGGATCACCACAAATAAATAAATAATTCTTTAAATCCTTTTTTTTTCATTTGTTTGAAAAGTTTTCGGTATTTCATTTATGCAATTCACAGTATAAGGATCTGTGCCACCCATGTTCCGCATTGGTTAAAGTAGTTATGATATACCAGACGTAGATACATTAAATTTGTAATTTCTCTTTCATACAAATTTTGGCTGATCACATACTTACAGACATACAGGTCATTTTGAGTAACTTGGTTATTTGACTCAGATTACGTTAAATTCCATTGAATTATTGAATTTGAAATATTTCACGATAACACTAGTTTCTGTTACTATGTTTCATATGTAGGCATTTAGTTAGGTATTTGCAGAAAATAAAAAACTCTAGGTATGCCATTGCTAGGGAAACCCATTCTCTTTTCTTTTTTTTTTTTTTGCCCATATTAATGTTCTTTTAAAAAATACCAAAACGTCTTTCTTATTAACCATCTGGACATTGGATATGAGCTTGATTGAAATATTTTATCCTCTCTAGTTGACCTCTATGTCACTTAGGTTTTAACCTCTATGTTTGTTGCGAATTGTTTGTCCAGAAATTCTTTTCAGCAACAGGAGAGGTTACAGTTTAGCCTACATAACCTTCATGGGTGAAACATAATATGTTTTTCGCTCTAATTTCACCGTGTTGTGACATTAAAGAAGTTGAAAAACTTCAGAGAACTTTAATGCATAAATAAAATGAACTGCAAATTTCATGGGCCATTATTGGCTCTTTGGTCCTTTAGGAAGAACTGTTTTCCTACCTCCAAAGTCATTTCACAAAGATATCGTAAGTTCTAATTTAATGCTTCTTCACTAATATTAACCGGATTTATTATCTTCTGAAGCTCCAGTCTTTTGCTTGATTTTTTTTATACATTAATTATCACACTGGTCATTATATGTTACTGAAATATTGAAACTATAGAAGCATTGAAGCCACTGCATTACATTACCGCTTTTATCCCTAATTTAACTACATTATTTTATACTTTTATAGCAGTACATAAATTAAATCATTTATTTTATCTTGTAATTTAAACTTATGTGTGTGTGTGTGTGTGTGTATGTATTTGTGCACACATGTGTGTGCCTCTTTATCTTCAATATTTAACTAACTTAAAATGACAAATAGTATATAAATGTTATGATCTTGTTTAAATTTTTGTGCTGAGCACTGGGTGTACATGATTGGTTGCTAAGAAATGATTTCAGCACCAGTTATAATCTTTGGTTGTATTTTATAATATAATAAATCGATCTGTAATTATTAGTGATTATATTAATTATTGTGATTATTTCATAAATATAATTTAGATTTGAAACATAAATGCACAATTTCTTGGTGTCATTCTATTTTATGTGTAATAAATAAGCTGGTTTTAAGTGTAGTAAATATGTATAATTAAAAAGATCATAGTTAATGACATTGTAAATGTTTTATTCCAGAAAAGAATATATTTTTTTTACTTTTAGTTAGACATTTAAGTTTATAAATTTGTTCCCATGGCTTGTTAATGTTTATATCATGTTAATCCATGAATTTTAATATTTAGATAATAAATAGTGAGGGAATTTGTTTTTTTTTTAATTAAAACTGAGTAATTCCAAAAACTTCAAATTTCATGACTATTTCTCATCCAACCTTCATACTGTCAACTCAAGTCCATCTGTAAGTAGGGGCAAGTTTTAAACTATGCCATCGATGTGCTCAGCATTGAGTTTAAGAAGTTGGCCCAGTTTTATTGCAATTCTAATGAATTTTCTTTTCTAAATTTATTCTACTTGTATTTAATAAATAAAATGTTCAAAATGTGCTGCTGTTTCTGAATTTTTTTTTAAAAAATGTATAATGCTTAAGCAGATTTCGCAACATTCTAAAGCTTACATACATATATGATTATATGAAATAAAATGAAAAAAGCTTGAGAATACTTAGTAATATACTCATTTAATCCAATATATTATTATTATTTTTATTTTAGATATGTATTAATTTTCTTACAGGGTTGATTTGTAGCTATGGGGATTCTAAAAGTAAGCTATGTGGACCTTTTGCTGGAGCAAGTGCAAGACAAGGTATTTCAATTATATATTAAAAATAAGTATTCCTTGGTTTGTGGTAGAAACAAAAAGCAATTGTATTTACTTTAGGTATCTGTTTTTAGTATTTAATACTCTACTATTCAGACAAGATGGCTTTAAATCAAATGGTGTTCTTACAGTAGCTAAAGTTTTCTATTGTTCCAAAAAGCCTTCTGAATGTGATGACCTTAAAAAAGAAAATGAACCAACAAAGAAGATGTCCATTTTCCAAAAATTTAAAGCTATGTATCGTGATTACTGGTATGTCTTAGTTCCTGTACACTTAGTAACCTCTGCAATTTGGTTTGGTTCATTCTACTACACGGCCAGAAGGTATGACGATTTTTCTAACCATATAAGATTTGAGATTGATTACTCATTTGTTATTAATTGTATGATTCTTATTTCTGTTTTTAAGTGGAGTTGACATTGCCTCAATTGCAGAAATGATGCATCTCAGTGATAGCACTGTTGAAAAGATTAGAGCAAATAGCAATACTCTGGCTGGTCATCTTGCTGTTTCATATCTTTTGTATAAAATATTTACACCTCTTCGGTATACTGTGACTGTTGGCAAGTATTAGATACATCTGATTTGCAAATATTGTTTAAAATGTTTCTTTATTTATTTATTTTTTTAATAAAACTAAATTTTGTTTCTGTCTAAGATATAGCATATTCATTATTTTAAAAGTACCTATGTTTTTATAATTTGTCTTAAAGTTCTAACAATGACTGACTGGAACAACATTTAGGATCAAAATCTACTGACTTCTTGACTTCTTGTTTAATAAAGAATACTTAAAGAGGGTCAAGAGACTGGGGAACGTAAGAGATTTTCTCCTAGCTTATCAGAAAATCGGGGGGGGGGAGAGGAGGGGTATTTGATAATTTGATCATTATTGAAAAAGTTAAAATAAAAAAAAGAAAATGAAAAGTTACTAAATAAGAAGAAAAGAATTAAATTTAAAAATTTAGGTTCCCAAACAATGTTTTTTTTATTTTTGTTTGTAGTCTCAGTTTAGTACATCTTAAAATCCATTGAATAATTTTCAAATGTTTTCTAGGCTTTAGGTTTACCTGCCAATGGTTGTGAACAGAGGTAATTTTGTTATCATCACGTTCAATCACCCACTAGGCCTGTTCCATACCATATTTCAGGAGATTCAGTTTATCGTGGGATGATGTGTGACCCCTGGAGGATCTCTATACTCCTAAGCTGATATAAAAGATAAATAATTATTTGCCATAGCTGGGCTCAAACCCAGGCTCTGTAGAACAGGGGCATAGTGCCTTACTCACTAAGCTACCCTGCCCCCTGTAAGGTTTAAGGCTCCTGAAATCCTTGATTTGAGCAGTAGAAGAAATTGGAAAAATATTTTAGTTATAATATAGATTAGGAGTATAATTCAATTGACTCTTCAATTTATGATGATATACTTCTTTTGTACTAGGAGGAACCACCATATCCATCAACTATCTAAAGAAGTGGGGTTATATCAAGCCAATGCCAAAAAAAGAGGAATTCAAAAAACTGTTGGAAGAAAAAAAAGTTTCTTTCCGAAAAAAAAGAGATAATTTTCGAGTAAAGAAAGACTTGATGAAGAAAAATGTGATTGAAAAATTTACTCAAAAGAAGCGTTAGTAAAAGTCTTGAAATTTTTCCAAATATACATGACAAAATATAGTTTAATTATTTTCATATTCATTTTATTTTAGGGTCAAAAAAAGCAAATGAGATAATCATAAGAAAAGTCCTTCAAAACAAAAGGGTTACAAAAAATGGATGAAATATAACAGAGTTTTTCAGCTGTCTATAGATAGAAGCTGACAACTGTCTTGTACTGAAATTGTAAATAAATGCATGTCACAAAAATTGTATACATGTTTGATCCTCTGTCTGTTGACTTCTGTTATCTTGGTAAGGATTCATATTTTTATTTGAACACATATTTAAATAATAGTATTGGTCTGGAACCCTTATTATTTTAGTTAGTTATTTTCTGGAAATTGTTACAATCTTTAATCATCTTATCCTTTGTTTTTTACTTCTTGAATTACGTTCTTAATACTTATTTTCTAATTCTTTTAATACATTTTTGATTCTAACAGTAATGTTCTGAAAGAGGATTATCAAAAGACAAAGTCAGATTTAATCTAAACCTTGAGGAGTTCTTGTATTTTTTCTTTCAATTACCTATACATGAAATATATAGTAAGAGATAGTATTGCGATTGTGAAACTTTTTGAGCCTGAGTTTTCAATGTGAATATACGTTTTGAGTCCAAATAACCAAGTCTTGCAAAAAGTTGTGTGAGTGCGCACTCGCGCGTACGTGTTTGTGTGTGTATCTGTTTGTTAATGGTCTACCTCTAAAACAAAGAGTCGCACGAAAGTTAAATTGCATATTTAAGATTTTTATATACCTTTGATGTTACAGCAACTTTAGTCGTAAAAATCAGCTAACCAGAAATGGCATTTTATAATATTGATCGAAAAAGGCACCAATGATTTTGATTAAATTCATTATATCATGTAGGTCTTATTCTCATTGATGTGATCTAACAGGGCTTATTATGTCTCTAATTTTCAAAATTTCTTCCTCTAAAGTATCTTTAATTTTTTTTTATTTGAAATAATGAGCTATTTCGCATTAAAACTTAAAATAATGAATACTAGTAATAGAGGGACCGAAAAACCCAAAACTCAGCTGAAGGTTAGTCTTCCAATCACGATACATGCTTAATAATAGGTTGTATAAAAAAAAAAAAAAAAATGACTTATCAAATTCAAGATTTTAAAGGACTGTAAATATATTAATCCTATTTAATACTTACCAATACTTAATAATCCCTTTAGAGCATTCTCTAAGCTTGTTTAATCCCATTCGACTTCTTCAAAAAAAGCCTAAGTTTAGTTATTTGTTTCAAAGAAGAAACATGACAGTGTCCTACGAAATTCTTGTAATTTTATGACGTTACTGAAAAAAAATTTCACAGTTGCTGAAGCAACTCATGAAATTATTAAATATGAAGGGGAAGGTATGCTTGATCAGCGCACTGTGCGACGTTGTTTTGAAAAATTTAGTAGTGGAGATATGACGGAAAGGAAAATGGAATCCGTTCGACCATTAATGGATATTGATGAGGTTCTACAGGAAGCTGTTAAGTCCATCCACTAGTACTCACGAACTTTCCAGGAAGTGTTTTGTGTCCTAAGAGTCACTATCTACTCTTCATGGAGAAGGTTAAAAAGAACAGTAGACTGGTCCCTCACGAACTTACTCAGCAATCAGCTAAGAGATTAGAAATTTGTGAAAATTTACTGAAAAACCTTTCTGATATGAGACTCCTGCCTCATCCACCATATAGTCCAGACCTCGCATCATCGGATTACTACTTATTAGATCCATGGCCCATTTTCTTCTAGAGAAAAAATTTGATAATTTTGCGGAAGTTAAAATTGCATTCCGAGAATTAGTTGGCAGCCATCCCAAAGAATGGTATCAGCGTAGGATCGAGCATTGGCTAGCAGCTGGCTAATGACATAAGATAACAATGGACTATACTTTGAGTATTAATTGTATTTTATATCAAAGAAATAATACTACAAATATTTGGTTGAAAAACAGTTATTTCTTTTGGTATGTATACCAATGCTTAAACAAATAAAAATATTTACAATAAATCATAAATAAATTTAGTGGCCTTCTTTATCAGTAATACTCTTGTTGGACTAAAGATATTTTGTGGTGCTTAAATTATTTATTACAGTCAAATAAATAATTAAAATATTCAGTCATAAAAGGAAATGGAAATATATATATATATATATATATATATATAATACGTTAGATGGCTATGAAAAACATATAGTAATTAATTGTTTTAAATAATATTCCGTACCATCTATAAGAAAAAGGTGGTAAGTGAAATGTGGTGTGTGATGCACACACCACACCAGATTTTCAATTTATTAATTGAATATTGAGGTAAATAACATGCACTTCTAGCATTCAGTCTTATGTTATTTCCTAAGAAGAACACTGTAGGCATTAGTGATTATATGGCTGACTATTAGAAGAGTACATGTGGTTTGAAACATTAAAAATCTCAACTTGATAATAAGGATGTCATGGATGGATCTTGAATGTCCTTATTTTGTCAAATTAACATTCACAAGGATTAAGTTATTATGTCATAATGGTTCTGCACTGTGTAAAAAAGATTTGGGAAATGATAACAATACACATATTTCATGAGAAACATTTTTTGCCTTTCTAAATTTTTTTGGGTTAACTAAATTATAACTTTATTTTAACTATGGATTGTTATTTGATAAAACCAAAATATCAGGATACATCAAATAAAATTATAAATTTTAATTCAAGATAACCAAGTAATTCCTTTAATTGCTTTACAATATGATACTGAATGTTAATAAAACGATGAAAGCATAAAAATAAAAACTTTGTTTATGTTTTATAATTGTATGAGGTAACATCTTAAAACTAATTGAATATCTAGGTGTTATAAAAAAAAAATCCTTTTATCCATTTCTTATCCTCTCTCCTAAACCTATATCAATTAAATATTTAAAAACATATTTAAATTTAACATGCAATTAGAAGTGATGTGCCATCGTTCCATTTGAAAGAACTGTTAATGGCTACTTAAAGATTAATCTATAACCAAGAATTTACCCTATCTTTGCATTAAGAAAAAATAAACAACTTTTCTTATATAACTACCCTTAAAGAGGCTATGTACCAACCTCGCCATTGGGTACCACCATACAGACGAATTGAATTGCTTTTTGGTTGATTATTGCTTGTTTCTTTAGTCTGGACCTTCAAACCTTAGAACCTTAGATTGACCCCGCAAACCTTGAGACCAGTTTATATCTAGATTTATGTAGATATTTATGTTAATATATTATATTTATATTTATATTTTATATATATTTATATTTATAAAATCTTTTTATATTAGTTCATGTTTACAGCATTCAATCATTATTGAATATTTTAATTGTTCATATAATTATGTTCTTAACAAGCATTGAAATTGTTATCATTTTTCTAATAGAACAACTAATAAAAATACTATATTATTTTCTTAAATATTTAATATTTGTGTTTTGTTTTTGTTCTGAAGTATAAGTTATTGTTTGGATTCTATTAAATTTATTTATTTAATATATAGTAGGAATCCTCTGATTTAGCATAAATTGTTGAATTTCTTACAAATAAATTAGTTTTGAGAAATCTTTAGAGATATAAAATATTTATAACCACATAATCATCAATTGATAATATTCTAATTCAGGAGTCACCAAACTTTTTGGCCCGTAGGTCACATTGAGACCTCCATTAAGTCCCGCGGGCCGTATCGAGATCTTGTAAGTCCCACAGGCCATATTGAGGCCTTGTAAGTCCTACGCGTGAAATGAAAAAAAAAAAAAAAAAAAATCTTTTTCTATAAACGACAGTTCTGTTGTGAAATGAGGGTTTTAAGAGATATAATTCATGAAATAAATGTTGTAATAACCTTATGTTTCAATGATTTACTAAATATCATACTTTTTAAAGATTTTTTTAATTTTTTGTAACTTTCCTGGGCCAGACTGGAGGCACTTGCGGGCCGTAGTTTGGAAACCCCTTTTTTAATTCAATATAACTAACTGGAAGCAATAAGATAAGTAATGTTTTATGTGCTTATTTTAAGCTTAGAATATTTCTAAATTTAATTTAAGAAAATTTTTCTTTCTGAATTTTTTATTTAATTTTTGAAGTTGAAGTTTTGATTAGGACAGTAATATAATCAAACATACAGATCCTCCATATATTTTTTATTCCTCCTATGTTTCTAAAAAAGTATCCCTCTTATTAAAAATAAATCACGTTTTTTTTTCTGTTGAGATAATAATAATTGGACGACATTGAATCCAGTAAAGTTTCTTTGTCAAAGGTTCATCATGATGTTTGAAACTATACTACTAGTAGAAAATCTTTCATATACAATTTTGAGAGAAGTTTCGATCTGATATGGCCATACTTGAGGGACTATGGTTGGTGCTTTAATCGCATATTTAAAGGAAAGCATTATTTTAATGCTTTGTTGACCAGCAATTTCAAACAGAAACCATGTCACGTCACCGGTTATTATTTTGTAATCCGTGTGCAATGATGAGTTAACTTGTCGTTGGTCAACAACATCTGGGCATGAAAAGATGAAATAACTCCTCACTGGTCAACAAAGTTTGTACATAAAAAGGCACTGTGCAACAATTTGTTAATGATGAAATTCTGTAAATGGCAAGTTATAAGAGATAAGTAACAATAGGGTAATGATCTTTATATCTTCTTTCATGCTAAATCAAATGATTGATGAGCCATGTTTCTGTGACTAATATTTTATTGTAATTTTATGGCTTAATTAAAAAATAAATAATTTGAATTCCTAATTTTCTTTCGAGTCCTAACAACTTATTGTTGGATCTTTTTTTTATGCCTTAACTAAAGCTCTAATTAGTATTTACTATTAACCTATTCTTGATTTTCTATAATAAAAAAGTTTAAATAATATAATTTAAAATGCAATTCAAATTGTTTTTAAATATTTAAATAGTTGTAAAACTAGGCAACATGTATCTTAATTGTAACATAAGTATTTTCTCTTTTAGGATATTAATTGGAAGCAAGGCGGATAATATTATTATACAGTACATAACTAGTGTCTAGGGAGCAAAATATTTTTGAGAAGGAGCAATTATCGGGTTTGGTCGATTTATACCGTCAACTCTTGGCCTCACCTCCCATTCTCAGCTTATCCAGCTGTTCATCCTCTGACGTTAAAATGAAATAGGTTTGCACACTTATGGGAATTGAATTCAATGGAAATGTACTGGATTTTATTTAAAATAAAAGAATAGATTTACATGATAATTTTTCGTG